TAAATGCTTATATACTCTGAGTATAAAACGTGTTACAAATAGCCACAGAAAAAAACAGTATTAAAAATGAACAAATTCATATCATCCACACTCAATTTATTGTATTTTCTTCAATGAACATGAACAGAATTATTAGCCAAAAGCAACTTAATCATCATACTTTGTGACCCTGGTCTGTGAAAAGTGCTATAGAAATAAAGTTTACTTACTTACTTACTTACTTATACTTTAACATTATATATATTTTTTAAACTGAAGCATTTGTCAATTCACCACTTATCACTTTGATTAAAAAGAATGTAAAAGAAAAAGAACACAATAAAAATGTCACAAACATCAACCAGCTGTAATTAAACTACATCTCATCATGACCATATTCTTGGAGCTCTATGAAAGCCCAAACTTCCTCAATATTCCCTTCAATATCTTCAATTGCCCCTGCTAAGTTTGTCCTTCCCTTTTCTACAAAGTTTGAGATCACATTTCCAAGTTCTTGAAGTGTTGGTATATCGCTCGATGCAGTTTTCAGTTGCTGCAGGATGGGATAGAGTTTCTCAATTTGTTCCTCATGATAGTTTGCCATCCATGCAAGTACATGCATGATTTTTGCCTAGGAAAAATACATTTCATAAGACAGAAATTATTTGATTAAGACAAGAAACTGGTGGCTCAATGGTGTTAAATAAATCCTAAAGTAGGTTATTGCATTAACAAATGTTGAAACAAATAAAACACATTATTACAACGGGTGAAAATAGCTGTTGTGAAGCACTCTTAAATAATTTACTCCAGAAACCTTGGCAAGAGTTCAGCACAAATCAGCAGTTCTGAATGAATGATTGCTTTTTCCTCTGTCATCTAAGTCTCAAGAGGAAATCCTCCACTCTGTTTTGCCAGTATCAGTCAAGTGATAGCTTGTTCTGCCAATCAGCATCAAGTAGCCTCACCACCTGCTCCACAGACCTTCAAAAGGCTTAGCCTCTGTTGAAGTGATGGAATTTTGTGTGTTATCCAATCAGGGCTCTACTTTCTCAGTGGTTGCTCCAATGCATTGAGGCCCTGGCCCTAGACTAAGAGGCAGCATCTTGCTGTTTCATAGCAGAGGGGAGATAGCGTCTCACGGCAGGCTCAGATAGTTGATCATTGTGCAAAACACAGTTTTAGTGCACATTTAATCTACTTTAATGATTACATTTATTAAATTAAATACTGCATATTTGACAAACTATTTTATGACTATGATAAGTTTAGCCTCCCCAGTATTCAGTGAGAAATCTT